AATTGTTTCATATCTCTGTACACACTGTACAATAACTTTGACATAACTTTCTTAGTCGGTTTTCCTGGTTTTTCAAATTTTTCTGCTGAGAACCCTGATTCATCACAGTTTGAGGCTTTTTCAAGTTCTGTAATCCAAATGTGGAAGTCCTGATGCGATTCAGTCACATACACAGAGCGAGCTGACAAACGTTCTAATAATTCCATATCGTCCATGATGTACTTAACTTGTATTACAAAGCTACACGGTGAGCGCAGTGTAATTAAACGATTTTACTGATAAGAGAGCAACTGTTATCAACACACAAGCTAAAAGGTTATTTTTTTAAATGGTAAAATATTGTCCAGAACACCAGAGCTCAAGTTTAACAATTTTAGGTTAAATTTGTCAAAGTCACTAAAAATGTGACAAAATTAACTTTTCCTGCCCCAACAATTTCAAGATAGTGTGTGAAAATTAGCATGGGCTGCTTTATTAACTATATAAATCAATCCAAACTACAAAAGAATACATGTTAATGTGATGACGATTACCTAACTCTTATAATAACTGATGTGACAAAGTAAACATGTCTTGCCCCTATTTTGAAGAACTATACCTCTATAAGAATACTAATATACATACTATGTAACTTTATCATCAAAAAAATGTCTATTAACTATTTATTTTGTCAGCAAGGAGTTAACAGAGTTATAACAATTTGTTTGTGACGAAATTACCCTATTTCTGACCATGTTGCGGTAGTTTAATTGTGACACTGTTAACATATTACCACCCGATAATGATTTATGTGACTGGTGCATGGTACTAGCAGTTTTATTTGATCCATAGTACGTAATATAAGGGGTTTAAGCTGGTATATCATTAGTTGTCCAATTTCACACATGTTCAGATATCATCAAGATTATGTGACAAAGTAAACTTGTTTGTGCCTTCTGTGTTTTAATTCCTTACGACTATATGATATGATAACAATTCCTAGCACTTCCAGGCCATCAAATAAACCTACACTATACTCAGCATTGTTATCAAGGTGCCCTAAACATTCTTCACATATTTTCTTAAATGTGTGACAGAGTAAACCTGAGTTCACCATCTAACGAAAAAAGTCGTCAAATATGTAGGTAATGGTCATATGTACCCATCCAATCAACTGGACACTCAAAAATTTGGTCGAAAACGGCAGCAAGGGGTCCATATTTTCTCCGTCACATGTTTATTAGTTTATAGTGTGACAATGTAACCATTTCCGTGCCGGCCGTATTTAAGCGATATCTTATCACCTGATTAAGATATCGTAACAAAGTTAGCCTAGAGGATGAGACGATTATCACTTATATTTACCAATATCCTCAAACTCAAATGAACGTGTCCATAAACCCTTATCCTAACCCTAATATAACCCAGCCCTAATATAACCCTAACCATAACCCCGAAGCTATCCAATAAATCCATAGCCCCAACCACAACTCTACCCAAACCCGAGCCCTAAACAATCGAATTGCTAACTACTAGCCTGTCACGTGACCAAAACAGTTTTTGCCCATAACTTTCTAGGGAAGAATTTCTACCCTACGTCATGGGGGGTGATTCGGAATCAGTGTCCAAAAATACACAATAAATACCTACTCTCACACCCTCAGAGCCTTTTCTAAAGAATTGTCCTACAATTTGGTGGAGTGATTTAGTGGGAGTGGACACTTTATATAGTTCCTACACTCAGTTCTGTACACACCACACACATCTTTACATTCCACTGTATTTAGATTTAGCGTTAATATTAAGATTCAGATTTTGTATAACTGGCTAACTGGCACGTGTGCGCGGCTCTCCAGCGCTATAGTCACGCCACAAACGTGACTTGGTCTCATATCATATCATATCACTGATATTAGAGTCACGCACACGGCACAAAGTCAAAATCAAATTTTTCCGATAGTGTTATATAAACTACTCTAATTTCAGCACTTATTTTAATATTTGTCCGCGCTCCCGGGCGTTCTTTACGTATAACTAATAACAGAGGCCAATGACACACATTACGCTGATTACGTAATCAGCCGATGGGGCAGGGCTGGAGGTTCAAACGATTAACATTACGCTAGCTTAATTCTGACAAAATAGCTATGTGTAAAATTGATAACGGAGTGAGGATGGGGGGGGGGGAGGCGATGTAAAAATTGGCGAAAAAGTGATAGCGTAATATGTGAATTGTCCCTAATTCACTTGACACAAAACCGGAACTATCAACTAAGTGGCATGAGAATAAAATTATTATATTCGTAAACATTGACAGGCTAATAAACCAGTCCAAAAACTGACCGGATACTAAGATGGATCAGTGTTGTTAATATTAGGTAAGGTGGGTTGGTTAGGCAGGGAAAATAGATGTCAGACTTATTCGAACAGTTAAGTTGGTCAACTGTGTTCAGTTCACCTGAGTATTAATATTGACAGAGGAAATTGGCGCAGAATATCCCGTTTCTCGGGATAAAGATTGCCCCCCCCCCCCCCAAGATTAGATAGTATCGTTGTGTTTACACTATTTGTTTTTTAGAACTTGAGTATATTATCCTTTCCAACATAGGGTTCTTCAAAATAGGAGCAGTTTTAAAGTTTGCTCCAATAAATTTTAATTGGGCCATACGGGTGTAAAGCTGTCAGAATGATGGTGTTTTTATAAAAGCCACAAAATCTTTAAAAACAGCTGTTTTAAACCAGAAACTTCACAAAACACCTAAAAACTAGGGAAAGTTTTCTTCCCGGGGTTTGGAATTGTTTAAATTTGCCAGTAAAAGGGGGAAAAATCGGCATGAAATATACCCCTTTTAAGACTACGGCTGTCAGAATGAAGTTTTGTATTTTGAGGCCTACATTACAAAAAAAAACTTTTTGGTTTATTAGACTTGCAGGCAGTTAGGTAAATTATACACCAATACCATATCACCTCTGTTGTCAACTAAATCACTATTCTTGGGGAATTATACAACATAGAAGGAAGACTGCGGCTGTCAGAATGAAGTTTTCCAAAACAAACTTGTCCCCATTTTTCCATCATGGCTCTAGGAATCTTTTTAGACCCTCTATCATTATTAACACATATCTGCAGCGTTATTCTACCCAAATCAAACATTCCTGGCATTTTGGTATAAGTCAATAAACGCAATTTAGAAAACCTTCATTCTGACAGCCGTATTGAATAGTACACTTTTAAATTTTATATATTGGGCTGTGAGGTATTTCTAGGGGCTATGTTAGCTGTGTGTATGAACTAATTGACAAGTATGACCTTTTACACACTACAACTTTCCAATGCTGGCCCCCAATTACTGCACTAGGCCCCCAATTATATTTATTGCATGTTATTGTCAACTTCAACTTGAAGAACAATCCATGGTTACAACTTTACAAGCTCTCTCTCATATAACTGCTTGAAGTTCAAGCAGTTATGAGAGAGAGCTTGTAACCAATAACCATGGATTGTTCAGTTAGTGTAGTTGCAATTCTTCCCAGCTTTGTTAAATGGATGTTTTACTGTTTGAAAAGTTGTGCAATGTGTTATAAATATACTGACTATCTACGGGTGTACGGGTGTTAGAATGATGCGGCTGTCAGAATGAAGTTTTTATCAAAGATCAAATTACTTTGTTAGAAACTTGATTTTGGGCATATTAAACAGGTTTGCATATACTAAAAACACAAATAAACACATTCGTTTTATGTATCGGTTGTTTTTGATGTTTTTGATCAACATTTTTTTAATGCAGAATATCATCATTCTGACAGCCGCCATTACATCATTCTGACAGCCGTTTGAATTTTCTGTTTTAATTTGTTAACACATGTTTATTGAGGGTTTTTTAGGGTATGAATGCATTCTTTTAGAGTTGTTTGATACACCAGTACCAAGTCTTAACTCTTATAGGGATAACTTAAACAACAAGATCACAAAACTGCCTCATATTTATGCAATGTCAAAATTTGAAAGTGTATTTCCAAATATTTCAGTAATAAATCATTTTTAGCCTTTCTTTCAGTGATGGAAGTGTTTATTTGTGTTTTTAGTATATGCAAACCTGTTTAATATGCCCAAAATCAAGTTTCTAACAAAGTAATTTGATCTTTGATAAAAACTTCATCCTGACAGCTGCATCATTCTGACAGCCGTACACCCGTAAAGTGCCATTTTAATAATATAGTGCCTAACAACAATTAATTTAGTCTTTTAAGATTCTAGACCGAAATATGCACACGAGCCGGGTCAAATGTTCAAATGTTCAAATGTAGATGATAAATAATGTAATCATGGTCCACAGAACCATAAATGTACAAGGGTGCCTCATAAGTCGGTCATTAGAGCAATTAATATCGCAATCAGTTTTGTATTCTAAACAAAAAAGCCCAAACGGCAAACATTGAGCCATCCTCTTTACATATGTTAAACGCAAGCTTATATTTCAGGAAAGGATCTTAAATTACCGATGACGATCTATTTTCGATGAGAAGTTTCCTGGGTTAAATCGTCGTCAGTCTTGAGTGCAAAAACAAGGCAGTTATATCCCAAAACATAAGGTATTCATTAATCATTATTTAACGACTCTTCCTTGTTTGAACCAAATAATTTTTACTTAAATTTAAAAAGCTCTCTTTCTTCTTTATCAGTAATTAAAGATTAATCGAATTTGTAAAGAATTTACTTCGTATCCTTGGTTATTTGATAATGGAAGTTGAACATATCTCATTTTCACAGACTTAGTAATTTATTTTTCATTCCCTCAGTGAAGGTTTGAGGACGACGCTCAAAAGAACATGAGTATGATGGTC